TATCGCTAAATCCAATGTCTAATACATTTTGGCCTTCATTTGGCATATAATTGCTTAACACTTGTCTGCTATCACTTGTCACCCGCACTCTTAACCCCCGACCTGTATGTCTTATCGCATGGATTTAGTAACAATTATTATCGCGATAATCAGTTCCAGAGGTTAACGATACCTCGTCTCACTTCCAGACCCCACCGCTGAGGTATTATCAATGATAATAACTTATTATAAACTTTTTTGTCACGTCTTAACCATATTATCTCAAATAGTGCTGTCATTTAGTTACTATAGATTTTTAACTCAATGTTTTATATAGTTTTTAACCTTTAGAACCCGACCCCTCCCACGCCTCCCATAATAAGTGCTATTTTAGTTAATTTAATATTCAATTAAATATTTACGTAAAGTTTTACACTGAATATTAAGTTTTCATTGATTTTTCTGTTTGTTAACCATTTTATAGGTTATGTTTTATTGCAATTGATTTTTTTGCTGTTTATAAATGCATTTTTTGATGACATTGTCTTTCGCCACACATTTAGTTATTATTATTGAAATGTTATGTATTTTATTGGCATTTATTTTAATGTTATTAGTTTTTCATGACATTTGTTTTACACATAATATTTTTTATTGTTTTTTTTACGTAAACTTTTTCATAAAAATTGATTAAATCCTAGAAACAAACATTAAAAATAAAACAAAAACACAATCAATACTTAATGCCATTGAATATACGGTTAAATACACAGCAAAACGCAAAAAACAAAACATTTAATACAAACTTAACACTAATCTAATTAACAATTTATATTTCACTGTCACGTAATGGCAATACAGGTATGATATCGTGCGGAACTATACCGCCGATTACGATAAGGCGCTCATATTCAACAAAGTTCACCACGAGTTGAATCAGTTTTGCTCAATACATTCACTCCAAGAGGTTTACATCGATCTCTTCGATCAGATCGACGAGAATCTGAAGACCGCACTCCAGAGGGATCTCAATGAGTTCGCGCCCGGACTCTCCGTACAGGCCGTACGGGTGACCAAACCTAAGATACCGGAGACTATTCGCCGCAATTACGAGCTTATGGAAGGTATGCACCGTCCGATCGCTTCATATTTACCACTTGTTTTGTTTGTTTTGTGTGACATTCAAAACATGGTATTTAAATCCCATATGAAATACACTGATATTTGATTAGATTTAATGATTAGTTTGTTTGTTATGTCTAAGAATGTTAGTTATGTCACATAATTATGTGTGTGTTTACCTGTTAATAGTGGTTAACCCTCAGGGGTTACAGGGGATAAGTGTTGTCACTGCGAGTGCACTAATGATAATAGTTGGCACATACAGTAGTATGCGTTAGTTAATCATTGTTAAATCACCAAGAATTTAACCATAATCAATTCTTATTGAATAACATGACAACATTAATAACTGACATGCAATAAGTCAAACAATAAGGTTAAACAGCGATTGCTTTTGTTGTCAATCGGAGACTGAATTTATTGTGTATGTAATTGTGTTTACATAGCATTTGTTGAGCCAATCGGTGATACGATATGTAATTATCGTAATTGTAATGAAATTGAAAATTATATAACATATCCTTAATTACCAGCGAATGCGTTGAAAATATGTCCAGAATTTGATGTAATTTTGCCAAGAGATATGTGCTATAGATATGTAGAATACAGAATATACTACACGTTATATATGACTAATTAGCACTTGCCTTAAATTCAAGAGCTTTTCCGCGAATTGTTACATAACTTTTACATAACTCTATGTAAAACTATGCGAAAGATTACTTACAATGTTATATAATACATGTATTAATGCATTACAAGTATAGTAATACCAGAATTTCAGGAGACTATTAAATTCTTGAATGAAAATATTTGTTATTCGTTTAGCTATTGTTCATTTAATCGTTAACCAGTGTTAATGAAAATTTAGATAACACCCAAAAATCATACCCTAATAGCCTCGACAACCCGTGGTATTCCCATACCATAGGTATGACTAACCAGTAGTGATAGTCTTCAGATACAAGTGATTAAAACTAATTCTTAGCGATCTCTATGTTTACCATCGATGGCGTTGAATACCACACACACATGAGTTACCCACTGAGTCTTCAGACATCTCTCTTAGCGCTTCCCATACTATACACACGATAAATAAAGCAATCACTAAAACATTATTATTCCTACATTTACCACCCGATGTCTACCATCACTACCGATGACTACCACTATCACCATCGGAACCGTTACGGACAAATGCAGGCGAGAAGACAAAACTGATGATTTCGGTGCAGCGGCAGAAAGTGGTGGAGAAGGACGCGGAGACGGAGAGGAAGAAGGCGATCATAGAGGCGGAGAAGAACCAACAGGTGGCCAAAATCACGTTCGACCAGAAGATCATGGAGAAGGAGTCGCTGAAGAAGATGTCGATCATCGAAGACGACATGTTTTTTAATCGCGAAAAAATGAGAGCCGACGCCGAGTACTACACGAAGGAGAAGTTGGCCGAAGGGAACCACTTGTTGCTCACCAAAGAGTATCTGCAGCTCAAGAAGTACGAGTCGGTGTCGCAGAACACGAAGATCTACTTCGGGACAGACATTCCGCAGATGTTTTACGAGAGAGCGTCCGATGGCTTGGATGGAGGGTTCGGCCCGCGAGTGGTCGCCGCCAATAATAAGGCCGGTTTGGACGCCGATAAGGCCGCCAAACAAAGCGGTGGATCCGGGNATATTATCATAAAAACCAAGTGTGAAACTCTTGAGCCAAAAATAGACGGCAGAAAAATCAATGATAATATCAATGATTAAATCAAATCATACCACACTTTCACAGGGCATGTGAACCATCAGGACATTGAACAGGACATCAGTAAACGCTATAATCATAATAATAAGTAATCATATCTGTGTATAAACTTTGTATTTGTTGTGTTTTTTGTATTCACTAATTGTAGCACTAATTAAAATAATTATATAATAAAACACATACAAAAAAAAGACTTCAATTTTAATCAATTAACTAATCATATCTGATGTACAAAAAGGCCGAAATTACTTTATCGAGTGATTAAATTATCACTCAATAAGTGAGAGAGAAAAACAAGTTAATGAAATCAATAGTTAATAGTCTATTAATAAACGCTATTATCATTTCTCTCGACTCCCGGATCCACCGCTTTGTTTGGCGGCCTTATCGGCGTCCAAACCGGCCTTATTATTGGCGGCGACCACTCGCGGGCCGAACCCTCCATCCAAGCCATCGGACGCTCTCTCGTAAAACATCTGCGGAATGTCTGTCCCGAAGTAGATCTTCGTGTTCTGCGACACCGACTCGTACTTCTTGAGCTGCAGATACTCTTTGGTGAGCAACAAGTGGTTCCCTTCGGCCAACTTCTCCTTCGTGTAGTACTCGGCGTCGGCTCTCATTTTTTCGCGATTAAAAAACATGTCGTCTTCGATGATCGACATCTTCTTCAGCGACTCCTTCTCCATGATCTTCTGGTCGAACGTGATTTTGGCCACCTGTTGGTTCTTCTCCGCCTCTATGATCGCCTTCTTCCTCTCCGTCTCCGCGTCCTTCTCCACCACTTTCTGCCGCTGAACCGAAATCATCAGTTTTGTCTTCTCGCCTGTTGTCCAGCGATAGCGGTTCCGGTGGTCATATAGTCATAGTCATCGGTGGTGGTGGTAGACATCGAGTGGTAAATGTAGAGATAATAATGTTTTAGTGATTGGTTTATTGATAGTGTGTTTATGTGTATGGTATGGGAAGTGTTAATAGTGATGTCTGAAGACTCAGTGGTTACTCAAGTGTGTGAATACTGTGTGTGGTATTCAATACCATCGATGGTAAACATAGAGATCACTAAGAATTAGCTTCAATCATATATCTAAAGACTATCACTACTGGTTAGTCATACATATGGTATGGAATACCACGGGTTGTCGAGGGTCTTAGGGTATGATTTTTGGGTGTTATCTAGATTTTCATGAACACTGGTTAACGATTAAGTGAACGATAGCTAAACGAATAACAAATATTTTCATTCAAGAATTTAATAGTCTCCTCAAATTCTGGTATTACTATACGAGTAATGCATTAATACATGTATTATATAACATTGTAAGTAATCTTCGCATAGTTTTACATAGAGTTATGTAAAAGTTATGTAACAATTCGCGGAAAAGCTCTTGAATTTAAGGCAAGTGCTAATTAGTCATATATAACGTGTAGTATATTCTGTATTCTACATATCTATAGCACATATCTCTGGGCAAAATTACATCAAATTCTGGACATATTTTCAACGCATTCGCTGGTAATTAAGGATATGTTATATAATTTTCAATTTCATTACAATTACGATAATTACATATCGCATCGCCGATTGGCTCAACAAATGCTATGTAAACACAATTACATACACAATAAATTCAGTCTCCGATTGACAACAATAGCAATCGCTGTTTAACCTTAATGTTTGACTTATTGCATGTTATTTAATAATGTAAAGCATCTCTCACTGTGATTTAACCATGATTAAATAACATAGTTCAGGCATACTATGTGCCAACTATAATCATTAGTGCACTCCCTGTGGCAACACTTATCCCCTGTAACCCCTGCGGGTTAACCAGTATTAACAGGTAAACACACACATAATTATGTGCCATAAATGACATTCTTAGACATAACAAACAAATTAATCGTTAAATCTAATTAAATATCAGTGTATTTCATATGGGATTTAAATACCATGTTTTGAATATCACACAAAACAAGTGGTAAATATCAAGCGATCGGACGGTGCATACCTTCCATAAGCTCGTAATTGCGGCGAATAGTCTCCGGTATCTTAGGTTTGGTCACCCGTACGGCCTGTACGGAGAGTCCGGGCGCAAAC